TAACTGTCAAAATTTGTCTCATTTCACTTAACATCTCTCTCAATGTTAAGTTTTCAGGGAGGAAAAAAAAGAGAGATCAAATTGCTTTATTCTAAGTAACAGTTCAAGTAATCAGTGCCAACTTGTGTTAAAGTCCAAAATAATGTTCAACATTGAACCCTCTGAAATAAAGTTCAAACATCAGGTTCTCTTGGGCTCTGGAAGTGACCTTAGCTCCCAAATCAGCTTTCCTTCCCCCAGGGATCCTACTAGGTTTACAGGGGTGTTCCCCAGCAGGAGCAATCCTCTAGCAAACATGAGATATGAAGTAGTAAAAAAGAAATGTAGGATTCTGACTCCAAAGAGGAAGGAAAAAGGAGAGGATGACGGTGAGTTGCATAAGTACCAAGCTCACTCATCTGAATATGGATCAACTTTCCTTCTCCATATTATCAGTAATTGTCAACAATAAAGAAATGTTTCCCCTAAGACAGTAAAGAATTAAAAGAAAAAGAATCTCTTATTTAAGAAATAAGGTTTATTTTTATAAGTAATATTTATTAGGTGTCATGGTGGAAATTTGTGAGAACTGGATGCTGCTCAACACCCAACTACTAATATGTATATCATGTTATATATGTCAACGTCTTGTTAGATTGTTATATCAATGCCCTACCCAGCAAAGTTAGCAGCACAACCTCAAGTATCTGCGAGTTGAAACATATCAATGTAATCCTCATTCATATGATGCCATGTGTTAGCTAGCAGCTCTTTTCTGCTTCATCCTGATTCTAGGGCTCTGAATGATGAAATCAGCCATCATTTGAACCATCACTGGAGACTGTCAACCCCCTCCTCACTGATACTTGTTTTCTCATTTTAAAATTCAGCTAGACCTACAACTACTTTCACCAACAGAAATGTGTTGTTTTCAACTTTAGATTTAGAAACACCTAGAAGTTTCTGTCCTTTTGCTTTCCAAGTCCTGAACCAGCACGCTAGTCTTCTAGACAAGCCATGTGAAGAGGGCTGTGGAAGACTATGGAAGAGAAAAACTCAGCCACAAACCTAGATGAGCTTCCCAATTACTTCTGCCTAGAACCTTACGAGAAACCTCAAAGCAAAATTAAACAATGTCCTTCGAGCTTTCAACCCACAAAACCGTGAGAGAAAACAAAAGCTACCTGATTGTTTAACATTACTAAGTGGTAGATACAGGACAATAGATAATGAAAACATTGTCACCCTGGCAAAAGGAGAAGAGCATGAGTAAGATACATAGGTATTCTAAACTTTTCTTTGGAAGTAACACAAATAATTTCTGGGGGTAGAGGTGAACACAATATGTGGTTAGCATTAGTAGCTCCTGGGGAGAAGTCAGAGCTGCAGAGGTGAATCTCCAACAGATAACTGGTAAATCAGAAGTACACACAGTGCTAAGTAATCAAAGTTAAAATACGGGCAGAGAATGTAGATGACCTAAACAAGGTAAGGGCAAGGGAAGAATAAATGAGGGAAAAAAGAATCAGAAAAGGGCAGGGTGTTGGATGCCTTTAATCCCAGCACTCGGGAGGCAGAGGCAGGTGGATCTCTGTGAGTTCCAGGCCAGCCTGGTCTTCAGAGTGAGTGCCAGGACAGCATCCAAAGCAATACAGAGAAACCCAGTGTCAAAAACACAAAAATCAGGAAAAGACCAACAATGTACAAGGAGGAATCTTGAAATTCAAGGAATTTAAATAATGTAATAACCTGATAGGAATCTGTAAACCCAGCCCAGGGAGGATGGAACAGGAAAATAAAGAGTTGGAGGCCAACGTCAGGTACATACATAATGAATCTGAGTGCAGTCTTGGCCTCACAGTGAGATCTTGCCTCAAAACAACAAAAATACAACAGTTAAGAATAAAAAGCCAAAATGGGTGATATAGGGAAGAGATGCAGAGACATTCAAAGAAAAAAATCAGTCACAGCCTCAGAAAGGGAAAGTAATACTGGACAGGTGCAATTCCAGAAGGGCATTCAATAAGACAGTAGTGTGGGCAGTCTTGGAGTAGGTAATAAGCACAGCAAATGGAGATCACAGGATAAACTAGTATAGAAATAAACAGATCAATTTAAGAGAGGACATCTCACAGATTATCTATATAGAAAAAGACAGAGGCCACTTAGGGATATATGGAGATCTCTGAATACAAACAGCTTTTCTGATTTGCTAAGTTCCCTGCTCCTGGCCCCAGAAATTGATGTCTGATCAAAGGAAATTAACATACATGATGAGTCCCTTCATGTGGGAACGAAGTTGAGAAATCACAAGATGTAAAATTACTGCAGTATTCACAGCAGGAATATCAAATTGGAAGAGATTACTATGACAGGGCAAAAAAAGGAAGAATTCTTTTGGACCAGTTCAGGAGACTTACCTTAATGGTACCCTGCTCAGAGGACCCCGACAGAGATAGGGTTTATATGAACTCAAGACACTTATTTTAGGAAGGGCATGAACTTTTTGCTTCACTAGACAATATTAACTATCCAACATTCCCCATCCAAGCAGGGACAACTGAAATACAATGCTTTCAATTCCTCTCTTCTAAACCAAATAAGTGAAGCAAAACTGTGCCATAATCAGTTCCAAAGTTAGGCCTGGCCATCTATGCCAGTGATTCTCAGTCAGTACCACCTTCCTAGGGAACAAGTATACAGCAGAAAGGAAAAAGGTTTTCCATATCATAATGCCTGGGGTGACTAACTATGCCCCATGTGCAGTACAGCCTTTCCTAAGAACTCCCCAAAGCCATGTAAGGAAAGGCAATCTGTCAGTTAATGCTTTAGTGATAGCTAACGACCCAATTCTGAATAGTAGGACATGAGTGGCCTTCTATGAAGCCTCAGGAGTCCTTTCTTTTTACTGTCGTCGTTTCAACTATATAGATACTTGACACTGCTACAACCATTTGTTTCTCAAAAAAAAGTTTCTTCCCAATCTTTTTCTATCACTGACATCTCCGTTTTCTGTTACCAAGTCCCACAGCAACTGTGACTTCTAACCCTTAATCTGACAGTGACTACTGAGGTTTGCTTGTGACAACCGATTTTATTCCTGTTCTCCCAGTGTAAAGATTATATGGTCACTTATTTATTTTCAATTAAAGATAACAGCTCTGACTCAAAAGAAAAAAAAAATGTTCTCAGGGATTGGCAAACCCTGGGCTTGCAAGTTGTTTTTGTACCTACTTTGGGGCTGAAACTGACTTTAATGTTATTAAGTGATTTAAAAATCAGAAGGATGGCCAAGAGAATGTAGCTTAGTTGGTTACTTGCTGGCAAGCAGGAGGTAGAAGAATCAGGAGTTCATGGTCATCCTCATCTACATATCAAGTTCACAGCCAGTCTGGGATACATGAGACCCTGTCTCAAAAACAAAGGGATAACATTTCATGACAACAGAAATTAGAGTTCAGTGTCTCTAAGTACAGTTTTCATTGGAACATTACCACATTCGTTCACTTAAGTATTAACTATGAGTTGAGAAGCTAGAGCGGCGACCTTATGGCCCACAGCTCCTTTATAATGCATTACAGAAAACTGTTCTCAACCCCTTCGCTAACGCCATCACTAGAGTCTGTGTACAGCGCAGGTACAGTTGCATAACTGGTTTCCCATCCCACCCCTTTCTTCAAGTCCTAAATAAGTCCGCTCAAGGTAAGTTTTGATCACCGGTATGGTTAACCGGTAGTACTGTCCTACCCCTTTACTCTAAGACAAGTACCTAAAAACTGACCGGAGCGAGAAAAGCCCATTCTTACTCTTCTAGACTACCGCTCACGTTAAACCCAGAGTCAGCTCCTTTGTGTTGGGTAGCTCACCCCTAAGCTGCCACAGCTCGTCTATACCTGTCCCCCACCCCCTCGTTCGTTCAAAGTGACAAGGAACCAGCCATTCCCAGGATCCACATTCCTTCCTCACAGGCAGGGCGGCAGAAGCCTGTCAAACTAGTTGAGAGCGCGAGGCGGGCGTGGCTAGGAGCAGACGGAATTCTCGCTGGAAAACCAGGGCTCCCGCAGGCCCCACAGCAGGGAGGGCGAGCACAGGCGGCCTTACCCCCGCACACTCCCACCGCGGAGGAGGAGGCAGGGCGCGGGCGAGCTTGCGTCGGGCCGGGATTAGGAGCACTGCCCAAGAGCAGCGTGGGCCCAGACCTGGAGCGGAGGCATCGGGCGCAGCTGGGCCTAATGTCCACATCCCCGCTTCACACGCGCTC